TGAATACATATATATATGAATACATATATATATGAATACATATATATATATATGACTACAATTATTTTAAAGAAAGAAAAATTCTGCATAAGAAAAGAAAAAAAGATTGGCAGGAAATACATCAAAGTAACGGTGGCTGTGTTTTAAGGATGAAATAATTATGAGCAATTTTTTTTCCTTCTACTATTCTATGCCTTGAAATTTTTCTTTAAAGAACATGTATTATATTAATATGAAACAATTATCATACTTATCAACCCTGACCCCAAACCTTCTCTTCCATTGTATCCTGCCTCCTAAAACAAACCATCAAACATACACATGCACACAAACCCGCAAGTACTTACATGGGCTTACATCTCTGTATCTGTTTCGATTTTTGTTTTCTGGAAACTTGGCCACTCTATGAGGATAGTCATGGGACTCATTGCGAATTTCCTTAAAATAACAAAAATATATTTTAACATTTCTTTTAAATTTTATACAGCAAAACAGATACTTCCCCAGCCAGTATAATATTTATTGAGCACTTATGATATGCCAAGTACTATGCAAAGCATATTATCTACACTATCTCATTCAATTCTCACAACACCAATGGGAACGTTTATCCTCTCCATTTTATAAGTGAGGGATGATAGGCTTTGAGAGGTTAAACAATCTGCCAAAGGTCACAAGTAAGTGGCAGGTCCCAGGACTAAAGCTTCAGCACCTACAGGCAAGATTAAACACTTTGTGTAACACAGAATTAATGCAATGGAGGTATCTAAGGCTAACCACATCATACTCAAATTTCTGACCAAACTCTCTTAATATCTACCTATATTTTGGAATTTCTATCTTAAAATTTTAATCTACTCCTTCGTCTTCATGCCTTTACTGTCTTCACGTCTTTAACCGTTACTTTATTTTGAGCTCAAAAATATCCTAAAATTTTACTTTTAGAGCCATAAATGCTTAGCAACAACCACTAGGCCTGAGGCCCGTTTTAGGACCCTTACGGTTCTCTGTATTCCACTATCGAAGAAACTCTGTGATGCCTGCACTAGGCACTCAGCTACATGGTGTAACCAGCATGACCAGGCTTTTTCTCCAAAATGGATTATGATTCTAAAAATCCAGGTAAAAACAGAAACATACCAAAAAAGTGTGTATTAACAGCAAAAATTAATTTGGGCTTTTGCTCACACTACCACATGTGATTTTGAAAAAACATTTTAAATTTAGGCCCCAGACAGTTTTATAAATTAAGTATCAATAAACTATTCAAGTCATTTCTTGATGAATGCCCTTACTATGGCTTCCCCACCCTCTTGCCTACCACCACTCCCACCAGCCCTCGGATAGGTAACTTTCTAGTTCATATTTTTACTCACTGGGCCTACCAAGATGCCAGAGTAGGGAATACAGACCACCACTCAGTGGGAGGAATCTCAGTCACATTGTGCAAAGAGCAAGTGGGATTACACATATGTTGGTACAGCCATTTGGGAAAATGCAATCTGCCACACACACAGAAAAAGAAACACACACATACATGCATGTTACAATTGTTGCTATTGACTTTTTTTTTTTTTTTTTGCTGAGGAAGATTTGGTCAGAGCTAACATCTGTTGCCAGCTTCCTCTTTTTTTCCTTGAGGAAGATTAGCCCTCAGCCAACATCTGTGCCAATCTTCCTCTATTTTGTATGTGGGTCACTGCAACAGCATGGCTGAAGAGTGGTGTAAGTCTGCGCCCGGGATCCAAACCTGCAAACCTGGGCCGCCAAAGCGGAACATGCCAAATTCAACCACTACGCCATGGGACTGGCCCCACTACTATTTAATGCTGTCTCACATTCAGCAATCTTGCTGAGCTCTCTAATATTTTGTAGCTGGTTATGAATTTCTCAATATCAACAAAGAGCGATAATTCTGTCTTTTCCTTATACCTCATATTTCTTATTTATTCATACCTCTTATTTTTCTTATCTAATTGCATTGGCTAGGACCTCCTATTCAACGTCAAATAGAAATATTTTTTCCCCTGATTCTGAAAGAACTGTCTCTAAGGTTCAACCGCTAAGTGTAATATGTGCTTTAGGTTTCTGGTCAATACCCTTTTCAGGTGAAGAAAGTTCTCTTCAATTTCTAGTTTGCTAAACAATTTTTATTATGAATGGGCGTTGAATTTTATTCAATGTTTTCCTTGTATTCATGGAGATGATCATATATCTTTTCTCCTTTAATCTGGTAATGTATTGAATTACAATAAGAGATTTTCACTTACTAGTAATATGCATTTAAGGTTTTTCTATGTCTTTTCATGGCTTGATAGCTCATTTCCTTTTAGTGGTGAATAATATTTCATTATCTAGGTATACCACCATTATTCTATATAAGATGTACACGTCTATATTTTTAAGTTGAACTGATCTCTAATTTTCCTTTCTCATATGATTTATTCAGTTTTACTATCAAAGTTATAACAGTTTGATATAATAAGTTGGACAGAAATATTACATTTTGGTTTCAAGTATTTTTCCATAAAAGCATATCATAACAAATTATCGTGATTGGCTGAATAGAGGAAAAAGCTTCAACCATTTCCACAAATTATAAAACTTTTTAAATGTCAAATAATAAATTTTACAAGTAAAATTAAACACATTCAGGTCTAGGCTTATATTTCTTTGCATAACTTTAAACACTATACAAGAGTTGAAACACTATAAAGTACAAGTAATTTTATATTGCAAGTTAGTAACAGATAAAAGAAAAATATTAATTTAAAATAATACTAAAACATACACTTTTCTGTTAACAGCCCTTCTGTATCAAGGCAGAGAAAACAAATGGGCAAGAATAAAAATTTCTGATACTACTATGTAGGTGAGAGAGCGTGAAGTGGTACTCGCATACATTACTGAAAGAATGTAAGCTAGTGCAATGTCTTTTTGAGAACAATTTGATAAGACCAATTTTACCTCCAGGAATTTATATTACATATTGTCACACATCTCTCTGCAAAGATTTATTATGCACAAGGATGGTCACTGTACACAATGGTGAAAAATTGGCAACAACCTAAATGTCCTTCAGAAGTGAACTGATAAATTATAATGCACCAATGCAGTGGAATACTTGGAAACCACGAAAAAGGACACCAAGTGGTGCATGCACTAACATGAAACAATCTCAAAGATATACCGCGTAGTGAAAAAAAGTTTAGAATGCTCCCATTTGCGGGGGATGGGGACTCCACTCAAACATAAATATGCCTGAGAATACAATGAATAATTCTAGAAAGAGACAACAAATTAGTAACTTCTGGGGTGGGGGGGAGACTGGCTGACTGGACATCTAGAGAAGGATAGAGATTTTTCTAACGAAAAATTTGTTTTAATTATGAAATATTTCAAACAGAAAAATATACATGACACCCACAGTGATATTAAACACATTACTTTTACCACATTTGCTTCAAATCTCTTTTTACAGAAAAGGAATAAAACACATCAGATACGGCTAAAGTATTTTCCTACCCTGCCCCTCTCTCTTTCTTTCCAAAGTAATCTTGTCTTTTTAACTGTTTTTGATGCTTTTGCTCCATTTGAATTTTAAACCACATATTCATATATTCTTTAGTTCATATATTACTTTAAGATAAACTAGCTAAAATACTAATAAACGTTAGCATATCATTAGTCCTAAAGCTAATAATATAGTTTTTAAGTCACACTGAAATGTTGTTGCAACTCATAAAATGGGAGAAAATAGTTGCAAAACAAATATCTGATATGGAATTAATATACACAATATATAAAGAACTCCAACAATTAAAAAAAAAACAGTTAAAAAATGGGCAAAGAGGGTAGGACTCCCTCCATTATATCAACACTTCTTCAATACCTGTTATGCACATACACCTATTTTCCACCTATCTTCCAACGTTAAGTCCATCTGTCAGTTGCTGATTCCAATTTTTAGCCTAAAGAAATAATTTATTTGTGTACACTATAACAAACCATTACTTACGTTGCAAAAAAATAAAATAGGGTGGGGCCCCAAGTTTAAGGGTAGGGAAGAGATTTTAATTGACAAAACACCATAAAACAGTCAAATCTTTGGGATTAAGAAATACATTCATAACAAGTACATTTTATTTTCCTGATTAAAAAAAAAAAGAATTCTTGCAGAATCTGTTCTCTCAAATCTCCAATGTTGTTATTTGTTCTCCTTTAGCTTTCTTTAATTTCAGTGCAATTGGGAAGAAAAGAACCCCCAATACTTTGAAAAGCAGCTCCAGAGGTACAGACTAGTTGTCTATTCCAGTATCCATTCTTTCTTACTAAAAGTTTCTGATTTTATTTTCTTACTTACAATGAGCCCAACAAAAAACTTGTATTTCCAAGCCTCCTATACAGCTAAGTATAGCCATGGGACACAGTTCTGGCCAAAGAGAATAAGCAGAAATCACCAGGTTGGGTTGCAGGGGAGGTTTTTTATAGAAGGGGCTGGCCCAGCTGACCTGTGTTCTCATTTCTGCCTGCCCAGAGTACCAGATATGTTGGGGGTGAGGGGTGGAAATGGGCAGGAGCTTGCCTGTGACCACAAGGTAAAAAGCATTCTAAGGAAGGCTAAGCAGAAATAGAAGAGACTGGGTCATGGATGACATAATGGACCCACAGAAACACCTCTGTACTTCTATCTCCAGAATTCTCATTACATGAGAAAAATAAGCCCCTATTTGCTAAGTCAGCTAGTGCTTGATGTTCTTTCCCATGAAGCTAAATGCAGGTCTCTAACAAATACACACAGTATAGCCAAGTCTCAACAATAACAAGATGAGACATTTTCAAGAATACCATAATTTTATAAGCACTTTGTGTAAGCAATAAAACACATGGTGTGTCTCAAAATGGGAATGGGAAGGTACTGACTGGTAAAATCAGCTCTACAGATGTTCTGATGCTAAAATGTTCCCCTCCTATAGCAGAAAGAACCCATAAACAGTGGCCCTAAATACTACATCAAGAATGCTTCCTGTCAGCAGTAAAACCTGCTGATCCAAGGTTTCTCAACCTCAGCACTACTGACATTTGGGGCTGGATAATTCTTTGTTATGGGGCTATCTTGTGCTTTGCAGGGTGTTTAGCAGCAGCATCCCGGTTTCTACTCATTATATGTCAGTAGCATCCCTCTTCCCAGCTGTGACAACCAAAAATCTCTTCCGACTCGGCCAAATGTCCCTGGACAGCAAAATCTACCACAAATATACCCTACCAACATCCAGTTGAAAACCACTATTCCAATCTAACAGCAACTCTTACCTTTAATTAAAGCTAAATTTAAGGGGAAGGATTTTTGTTTTAAAGAATAATTTAATCAGAATTTTTAAAATCCAATTTATTTTTATATGATTTTCACTCAAAAAAAGCTAGGAATAATTGACTCA